TCACGTCTGTCCCTGCTTGTTGTCATAGAGGAATCAGAGTGCATAAGAACTGAAGATGCCTTTATGAAGATAACTTCTTATTTAATTCAGTAAAGTCATAAATTAAACCTATAAAAATCTAGATAAATGTAACAAGGGAACATTTCAAAGCCTGCCATTTAAAGTTGGCCACTGTTTTAATGTGAAGCAGTTTTCAGCATATTTGTTCAAGTTCAGTGCTATAATTTGCATTGAGAAACAGTCCTTCAGATTCATATCTGAAGTCTCAGGTTGTGAAGGGCTTTGAAGCCAGCTTGGAAATAATAGGCAACCAGTAAGTCATTGTACAGCAGGTGTTGTATATTGGTACAGGCTTGCTTCAGTTAACAGACAAACTTCTGAGTTGTCATTAAAAGAAACTACAGCATGTTAGTGTAGTCTAGCCTAGCCTTGAGGATAAAGCAACATGAATCAGTGAAGCTGTGTCAGCAGAGTGTAGAAGGGGAGACAGTTTGTGATATAATGGAAACAATGTGCTGCTGGCAATAGCGCTAACCTGCTTCTCTAACAAAAAGGCTGCGTACAAGTGTACCCCTAAGCTCTTTGTGTAATCTACAAAAGACAGTGTTACCTCAAACAGAGTAAGCAAAATAGCTTCTTCTAGAAGGCCAGTCTTGCAAACTAGCTGTTCCATAATCTTCTCTTGACTCAATTTCAGTGTGTGTTGTTTCAGTCATTTGACCATGATATCCAAACACTGTCCTAGAACAAAGGCAGGTACTTCTGGAAGCTCCATTAATGATATATATAGTTGGATAACCTTGGTGTATTTATGACATTTAATTCCAAAGCTGAGAACAGAGGCAGTTGACAGAGATACTAAAAAGCACAAAATGGCTGCCACAGGAGGCAGGGCCAACAACAAAACAGCAGGGATTGAAGTCAGGCATAACTCTAATAGTAACTTTTCAGTGTTTCAGGCCGAAATGCTGCCTTAATGAACATATTGTTTAAAAATATTTTATTTCATACACACAGCTTATCTTATGCCATACAGTGAAGAACAGGCTGTGGTGTCAACTACTACTAAAGCAGTGTGTTTTTGAATCCGCACAGCTAATCAGATTTGCGCTGGCCAATTAAAAACCCTGTGGGCAAAAGCCCCTCCTGGCCCTGTCCACTTTCTAGAAATCTTTGGTGAGCTCCAGGAAAAGTGTTCGTGGATATCATGGTGCCTGTGGGCACCATGTTGGGGGACACCTGAGCTACTCTGTCTCAGGTATTGTGATTTTTGGTTATCTCCGAAAAAGGAGTCCGCACAGCAACGGTTTATCTCTATAAAACTTCAAATGGAATGAGAATGAAAGCTGGTTACTTCTGAATTAATGAACTGAAGTTACATAGAAGACTTTGAGGTATGTGCCTTGCCATATGCATTAAAAAGAGTAGACCAGGCTGTGATATGAACTACTCATAATGGGTTGGAGAAGAATTCATGGGATTTGGCAAAGTGATTTTTCCATTCCTTCCTTTCCATAAATAGCTCACCATCTATCCCTAAATTCTTCTCTGATGGTTAGGAGAACCTTGTAAGCAAAATATGTTGTAGGGTGGGATGCTGCAGTGATGAAGGAGGAATTGGGTTAAGTTACCTTCCTGTCTTTCCTCTGCTCATTCATGCTGTGAGCAGAAGACAGAGAAAGTGGTGATTTTACCTGCTTCCCTGATATCTTACTTATGAGAGTCTCCCAGACCATTCTCAGAAAGGAGTTCTGTGATAGACAGCAACCTACTTGGGGAAGGGGAAGATAGTGAAAAATTGAGTCCACCAACTCCTGTGAAATCTTCTGCTGGATACAACTCAGTACTGGGAAAGTAGGATCTAAGCCTTCACTGTTTGCTTTCTAATGCTTTCTTTTAGGAACAAAATACATAAGCAAAGACTTGTAACTGTTAACATGAGAATTATACATAGAGCATCATCACTTTTTGGGCAGTTAACTTCTGTATGTGACTGTATGTGACACTATGTAATGAACTGATAGAATGGTCACTTATGGCTTTCAGTTATTCTTGAATGAGTGCCCTAGAGTAGAAGGTGTGCATTCAGTTTGATTTGTGATATATATATATATATGTTAATTACTTTTTAAAGAATTGCATCAACCTAATAAATGTATTTGATAGATATGAATCTTGTATATCAATATAAAAGAAAACACTTTTGAGTTGTTCAGTGGGGTTTGCAGATTAATTTTAAAATAAATGAATTTTAAAATAAACATTCATGCAGCACCACTTCCTTAACATACAAAGCACAAAAAGTTATTTTATTTATGTATTTTAAATGTTTTTGTCCTGCTTCCACCCAAGTGGGGCCCCCAAGGCAGTGAACATTAAAACACCAAAATATCATTTAAAATAAGGAATATGTAAAATAAACCATTCAGTAAACCGTATAAACACACAAACACATCACACAACCAGAAAGGAGTGCCAGTAACTGTTACCAAACAAAATAAAAAAGTTGTCACCTGCTGGCAGAAGACAGTGATAAAGGGAGACAGATAAATTACTCTGTGGAGAAAGTTCCAAAGTTTTGACACCATAACTGACAATGCAGTTTTTCGGGTTGCCACCTCTCTAGCCTCAGACGTTGGGAGCACCCAAACTGGAGCCTCCGAAGACGACCACAGTAGATGGGTTAGGTTCATATGGGAGAAGTTAGTTCTTCTGGTATGCTGGCTCCAAGCCTTATAGGGCTTTAAAGGTCTTTAATAGCACCTTGAACTGGGCCTAAAAGCAAATTGGGAGTTGTAGCTGAACAAATCTAGAGTGCGATGGACTCTACAACCCACTGTAGTCATCTTTAGTATTCTATACCATCTGTAGCTTCCAGACAGTGTTCAAGGGCAGCCCCATGTAAAGCGCATTGCAGTAATCTAATCTAGACATCTGCAGGGCATGCATCTCAGTGACAATATCCTTCCTGCCCAGGAAGGGCCAAAGCTGGTGAAAGGCACCCTTGGCCACTGCTGTCACCCTCTTATCCAACAGGATGTCTGCGTCCAGCAGCTGTTTCAAATTGATTTTCTAGGGCAAATGCAACCCTATCTGGAGACATTCCACGTTTTGGGTCAAACCTTTCTCCCATCAATAGCACATCTGTTTTGTTGAGATTAAGTTTCAATGTGTTAGCTCTCATTGATCCCAAAACTACCTCCAGGCATTTGTTCATGGTTTCCACAGCCTTCCTAGGATCTGCTGGAAACACAAGATAGGGCTGAGTGTCATCTGCATGGATTGGTGGATGATGGTTGCCAAACCATGGATCCAAAGGATGATGCAGACCTTTTTGTTAGAACAGCATTAGAGTGCTGAAATGTACAAAAAGGAAAGACTTGGGTGTCATCTTTCCACAATATTACATGAATTTTTTGCTTTCTGTCTTATCTTGATTTTGAGGGAAAAGTAAAACTCCCCCAAACATTCATAGGCCTGAAACATTAAACTTATTAAAGAGTAACTTGGCTGTAAATCTGCCTTATACCTCCCATTGGCACTCATACTTGATGGATGTGGTTAACTCTTGCAGGTCTTTTTGACCAGACATTTCTGCAGTACAGCATAAAAGAAAAAGAAAAAAAACACTTCAGAGCTAGCAAAGAGGTAGTCGCTTGTCTATGAGATGGCTAACCTAGTGTGAACCTAGACCTTTTCTGCTGTGAACATTTTTGTGACTTTGTAGACTTGTGCCCACCATAGTAGCTGTCGTGTAATATTGCTGATACATGTACTACCAAATACGAAGTACAACCCAGATAAGCAGATGGGTTGTATGAGATAGACTACAACCTGTAATAGCACACTCTTCACAGCTCTTCCAAATTTCCTCTGTGTCTTCAAGAAGAAATGTTAGAATAATTGTGCGGCAACTGCAGATTGATGCAGATTCCAAAAACATGTAGAGGTCATCATGGTATCCAAATTAGTATCATCATCATCCAAGATCATCATGGTATCCAAATTTATGTTGATTTCATTGATGAGAGAGGAATTTAATTTATCGTATCAGTTTCTTTTGTTGGAAATTTTCAGGTCTGAATAATATACAGTATTTGAGATGATGGTTATGGTATTTTGGGAGAAAAATATAATTGAATAGCTTCAATGTACATTTTCAAATATATGCAGAGTTTGTGACAGAAGTATAAAAGACATTCTTATTTTCTAGACATTATTAAGAACAATGTGTATTTTATTATAGTTTTTGTCAAAATTCAACTTCGTGCCCTGTTGAAGTGGTGAGCATTTTAAAGTCACTCTTCTAGAAATATTTCCCCAAATACATTTTTGGTATATTCCAATACATGATTTGAATGGATTAAGTAAAATAGGTTTTGGCTTCACTTGCAACCACATTTTGGTGTAGTGGTTTGGTGTAGTGGTTAAGTGCACGGACTCTAATCTGGGAGAACTGGGTTTGATTCCCCACTCCTCCACTTGCACCTGGCTGGATGACCTTGGGCAAGCTGTAGTTCTGATAAGAGCTGTTCTTGAAAAAGAGCAGTTTCTGTCAAGAGCTCTCTCAGCCCCACCTACCTCACAGGGTGTCTGTGGTGGGGAAGGGAAGGGAAAGGAGTTTGTAAGCTGCTCTGAGACACCTTTGGGTAGTAAAGGCCGGGGTATAAATCCAATCTCTCCTCTTCTTCTTCTTTTTTACTAGAATTAGGAAAAACTGGCAGGACTTCATGCCATAATAATTAGGTTGGTAATTCTAGAAAGTAAAAAAAAAAAGAATCTTGTCTCTCTCGTTCTCCAAGGCATCTTTGAATATGCATCTCAAGAATTTGTACGTAGCTTATACAATAATTAATATTGTATAATTAATAATTAAAAAGTAAGTCATTATGGTTTTTCTCAGTTGCTCATAATATACATATTGCATAAGTAACAGTAGTGGTCACTCAGTTGAGTGCGGTACTTTTGAACTTGTTTTAATTCTTTAATGTTGTAGGATTACGAAGCCTTTAACTTTTGCTGACTGTGTAGGCGATGAGCTGCCTTTAGGATGGGAGACTGTTTATGATCAACAGATTGGTATTTATTACATGGACCATATAAACCGTAAGTAGTAGGTGTTTTTTAAGATTACATTTTAGTCTCTTCTTGTTACTGAGTTCTTCTCTCAGTCTGTGAACACGGAAGAGAATTTCATCGAAATCACAGTGGTATGTTTTTACATGTAGTATTGGCTAAAGATAAATAAGTGAAATTTGCAAATTGGTTCTTTGATGAATACAGTACTTGCAACACTGAAAACGTTCATTCCTTAGTTAAAGATAGTTTGTGTGTGGCTTGATGTAAAAATTATACCGTATTTTGAGGGAGGCAGGGCAGCAGATATAATTGGCAATCTTAATACCTTCAGGTACCTGGAATTCTTTCTGGGAGAAAACCTCTTTGCTTAAAATCCCTTTTTCTTAAGGTGGATCTCTCTCCCCCATTTCCTTTCCTTTTCTGTTTTGAAACTTTGGAACTCTTTCAATGGCAAAAGGGATACAGTTTTTGTTGTTGCTGCAAAATTTTGAAACCAGCAAGATTATCTAGGAGTCAGTTTGGCTGGAAGAAAAGGTTGAAGACCTGAGTACAATAGGGGCAGTATGAGGAGAAAGAATGATTGAATAAGAACACTTATTAGGAAGGGCTAAAATTGGCGAGTGATGAATGGAACGGGGAAGGAAACAAGCATGATTGAAGTGAGAGATTATGATAGGGTAAGAGATTATGATAGGGTAAAGGGTGACAAGGCCAAAAAAATACAACTTGTGGTTGTTCTGTAATTTCTCAACATTGGGGAATCATATGGATGTTTTCTTTTACAAATAAGAAGCCTGTGCTGGATTACAAAACACATAGGAGAAGATATAATAGAGAGAAATTTCCAAGACCTGAGGAATATTTTTGTAGCAAGTTGCCTAAGCATAAAACAGAGTAAATAACTCAAATTCTTGCAAGGGAATTCAGTGCACTGTTTGACCGCCTGTGGAAGAGCCAATCCAAGACCCCCCTAAGTCTCCCTTGTCCTAGTGTAACAGTAACTACTTTAGCCTCAAACTGAATCAAAACTATAGTCTTCTGCTCAACTAAATACATTTGGGGCCAGTTGTTATGGCTCTTCAGTAGGCAGGGAGGATGAAAAGTAACAAATAATAATTCATATTAAAAATCTGTGTACAAAGGATTGCCCATTTCTCAGACATGGGATATTAGCGTCGCTAGTGTGGTATAGCTGTTTCATGTGTTTTGATACTTTATTGCTTAATATATATTTTAATTTGTTCTCTCTCCAGAACTCACCCAAATTGAGGACCCAAGAGAGCAATGGAGAAGAGAGCAGGAACGAATGTTAAAAGAATATTTAATTGTTGCCCAGGAGGCGCTTAACGCCAAAAAGGAAATTTACCAAATTAAGCAGCAACGTTTTGAGCTAGCACAAGAAGAATACCAGCAGCTGCATAAAATGTGTGAGGATGACAGTCGCTCTTACATGAGCTGTAAGTTTTACTTCTCGTCTTAAACTAAATTCATGTTTAAATTCTAGGTTTATGTGCTTGTATTCCTGGCTGGGTGAGGAACCACAGGTATAAATGGATACATGTGCCTGCACCATTACCATTCACCAATCCAACATATGATGCTGTGTGTGCCGAGTTCCTTTGAAAAAGCACACATACTGTCTCGTGGATAATTGGGGGAAAAAAGCATACGCTTGTAAATTGACTTGCTGGTCTGTATTTCAAGATGCAATTTAAATTACTGTTGATCTTGTCACTAATTCTTGTCACAAATCCAATTTTGAAAAATAAATTGTAATACGCAGCACATATTTTTGTACCCATGGTTTAAATGAAATAGCTTCTATTGCCCTCTTCCTTTCCCTCATCCAGATCTTAAAAATGTTCAGTGTTGATGTTGCAAGGGCAGGTGCCAAACCAATTTTCTGTGAGTTAAGCTCCTTGTTTTGTGGTGTGAGATATAGAAGGCACCAATGATGACAGAAATAGAATTGGGAAAAGCAGTCTCATTATAATTGATGCTTTACAGTATGAGTCATTCTGTTTATAAAATATTTTTCCTTAGTTTAAAAAGCTGGCTGTGGCTCTCTGAGACTTGATTTTTTTGTTTTGTTTTGAGCTATTATAGGTTTCTTGAACAAGGACATATTTATGTGGCATAATATTAGAGAATGAAAGTCTCTTTCTTCCTTAATTTGATTGGCCTTTTTTGAGCCAAAAAAGAAAAATTGAGTTAAAAATTGCTTATAAGAGAAGGAATCTTGGACAGAAGTATATTAGCTTGAAAGTTGGACACGCTAATGTCCTTTAAATGGCAGGATGAAATGGCAGACTAACTGAAAAGTTTTAGAAATTAAAGTTTAAGTTGTGCAAGCATTACAATACCATAACTGTGAAAAAGTTGTTGTTGGTGTTACTGATGGTGTAATTTTCTGGGCTTCCATACGCAAAATATAGAGGAGACGTAGAGATCTACTTTTAATGCTTAGAGAGTTGACTGGTCACTCCCAAGTGACTTTGTGCTCACTGCTGACTAGAGATGTGAAGGTGCTGATAAAAAACAGAAAAATTTGGGGGAAACCCTGTTTTTTTCTAGCCCCCCCCCAAAAAAAAGAAATATTTTCTCTTTTAGAATGTGTGAAATGATTTAAGGACAAGGGAGACATGCTTTAGATATACACAACTCTTAAATCTAAGATGTATTTTTGCAACTTGAGGGATACTTCATCTTCATAAGTGGAACATGCAGGGTTCACATTGCTTCTCAACAATTGCATGCCTTCTGTTGTTCTTTTGACATGACTTGTGGTTGATCTTTGCATGTCTCTCTCAGAAGGCCGTGTGGCAGAAACTTTGCCAAAGCCTCAGAGGAAAACGGAGGTTTCATTGAGAACTTAGCTTCCTCTAGTCATTTAGCAAAAATTACGTACACATGGTAAGATAGCATAGGGAGCATCAGCTAGCAGTTTTCTCTCAAGTATTAGGTGTATTTGCAATTTTGCTTGTACAAAACTAATGCATTTATAACTTTTAAATTCCAAAAATATGTCAGATATTCCAATTTTATATGCTTAAGTAAGTTATAAATGATGCATTCTATTTTGTTAAAGCAGTAAAATTAATTTTGGTTTGATAGGACACCAAGTATTGCATATATTTCAATTTCCCCCAAATTTCCAATTTTTTCTGGGGGAGAGGACCCAGATTTTTTTTCCTGCGGCTTCAAAATTTCTGGAAAATTTACATTTCTACACCAGAGTAGACTAATATCTTGTCTATGAAGATTTCTGTGGTTCCTCACAAAGTAAAATGTTGAAGTGAGTCACTGGATTATATGGCACTTTTGGGTGGTAAGCCAAGGTTTCGTGTCAATTAGTATATATCTATTTAAGATGAGTGTTACCACAAAGTGTCTCCTCAGCTTAATTTTCACATCTAGAATGGCTGTACAAAAATGCATCCACCAGAAAAGTTCCCAGGTACTACATCCCAAAAATGACAAGGAAAAATATGTTTTGTGATTGATAATTTTAAGCCCCTCACTAAGAAAATCTTATCCTGCAGAGTTCTTCAAGAGCACGTGAGATCGGGCTTGCCTGGGTTATTGAGGGCAGGGCAGGACCGTTATAATCAATGGTCCCCATAGGCTCTAATAGAGAATTGTTCCCAGGGGGGGTTATGAGGTAGAGGCATCAAATTCACAGCATAGCTGCTAGTGCCTCTCCTCAATCCCCTCCAAGTTTCAAAAAGATTGGACTATGGGGTCCAATTCTGTGGGCCCCCAAAGAAGGTGCCTCCATCCCCCATTGCTTCCAATGGAGAGAAAAAAGACATTTAAAGGGACTGAGAGACCTTTAAATGGCTTTTAGCTGTGGCTATTCGGTGGCCCTGAAAAATCCCAAATATTTTTGGGATTTTTTTGGGTGGGCCATTTTTGGATAGCTAAATAAGTAGTGAAAAAATATCCAGAAAATACTGATAAGGTATTTTTTGGGTATTTTTTTCAGTTTGGTTTATGCCGAATGCACACCCCTATTAATAATAGTGCTTGATGTAACTGAAGTGGGGTTTAGAAGTAAAAGCAGTTTGGTTTTGCTTCATTTAAAGTAGATACAGTTTGGAAACTTGTTTCACACCTAAAATATAAAATAACTTTTAAAAGAATCTTGTGAAGTAGTTTAGACTGATTAACTGTAGATATCTTTTAGTTAACTGACTTGATGACTTGATTCTGTGTTGTAATCTTAGCTTTAGCAGAAGACAGTGGCACATAACATTCAACTACTAAAACATTTGGTTATTCAATTATACTGTTATATATCATTTTTACAAGTGTCTGTTTTAAATATGAAGACATTTTTTCCTCTGTCAAGCATTCTCTGGATTTTCAACCAATACCAAGTATGACCCGTCCCAGATTAAAGCAGAAATAGCAAGTCGACGTGACAGAGTGAGTAATCCTTTCTATTACTTTGATACATTGAAAAATAATTGTTGTCTTTTTCTTTTTATGCTTTCTTTGTACTTAAATGTGGTAATACATTACAACCCAGTGAGAGACACTATTCCGTTAATATAAATATGTTTACTAGTGGGATTTCTTTATAGTTTGCTGTTGTGTTTTACTTATCTGGACTATTTTACTGTACATGTATTAGACTGAAAAATAGTTAAGTGGCTTGTAGTACCCTGTAACACAGGGCTGGAGCAAAAGTGGCAGATATATAGGGTATTAACAGTGCAATCCTTAACAGAATCGCTCCCTTGTAAATCCACTGATTTAGGATTATTTGGGTTTGTACAGTAATGCCTCCAGTGGATATGATCCTGGAAACAGCATTGTCTAGAACAGCATTATAGGAGGTAGTTATAGCACTCTCCTACTGGAGATGTGTATAGATGTGTACAGATGTGAAAGTCCTGAATAATTCTAGGGAATCCCCCCCCCCGCCACTTTTCCCCTAAGGACTCTTTTCAGATTTTCCAATGAGGAAAAATTGGGAAATTTGGGGCAGCAGTGCAAAAAACCTTCAATGGGGTGCCTTTGGTGCCAATGCCAGAGGTTAGGAGCTTGGGAGTGCTCTTGGATGCCTCCCTAACAATGGAGGCCCAGGTAGCAGCCACTGCCAAGTCAGCCTTTTATCATCTTCGGCTGATTAGGCAGTTGGTTCCCTTCCTCGAACATAGCGACTTGGCAACAGTAATCCATGCAATGGTCACCTCGAGATTAGACTACTGTAATGCCCTTGTCCCAAATCGGAGGCTGCAGCTGGTGCAGAATGCGGCAGCCAGGCATGCAGCCTGCGCTGAAGGCATTGCACTGGCTGCCGATAGCATACTGAATTTGCTTCAAGGTGCTGGTGCTTACCTATAAAGCCCTATATGGTGAGGGGCCAGCATACCTGAGGGGAACGCCTTTCCACACATGTTCACCAGAGAGCACTGCACTCAAGGACACAAAACCTCCTAGTTATCCCTGGCCCTAAAGAGGCCAGACTGGCCACTACCAGGGTAGGCCTTTTCTGTGGCAGCCCTGCAATGGTGGAACGAGCTCCCTGAGGACACCAGGGCCCTGCGGAGTTTACTTCAAATCCGCCAGGCCTGCAAGATGGAGCTATTCTGCCAGGCATTTGACCACACTTAACTGGAGCCTCCCTTGGAGTGTTTGTACCATCTAAGTCTGTACTGTTAAGAAAATACTGGATTATGACTGCCGTCGCATAGGCAAATATATATGTAATGCACTTTAAAGTTTGTATTTTAAACTGTTTTAATACTTTTAAGTAAGCCGCCCTGAGCCTGCTTTGGCGTGGAGGGCGGGATATAAATCCAATAATTAATAAATAAAACCACCCATGAAATATTTTGTATCTATCAATGAGTCAAAGCAAGATTTTTCACACTCAGTTGTAAATGTTAGAAGTACTGAAAAAGCCTCCTGTGAGACATTTTCTCTTTTTTGAGTGAGAAAACCTCTTACAGTACATTTCACTCACTCTGAATGTAGTGTGGAAAAGTCTGAGGACTTCCTCAGTTTTTCCAGGGTTAAAACTGGGAAATTTGGGGAAGTACTGCAAAACAAAAACAAACAAACAACCCCCCCACACACACTTATATTTTTCAGGATTTTTTTTGTTTAAATGGAAATAATTTTGACAGTGATTAATGTGCTGTAACGTATCTGTAATACATCATTACAGAGTCCAGTGTTTTCAGTGTTATAAAGTTTAGCTTAATATCCAGACATGATGGCAGTCTCACTAATTATGATTGTATAAGAGTTTCTTTTTTAAGAAATACTTTCTGTTGTTTATTGCAGAATTTGTTTTCTACCTTCAACTTTTATTTTCCCTACCTCTCAGGTGCCAAAAAATTAAAACACATGCAGCATTGGCAGCATATCATGTAGTAGTTTGCAACTCTTTTTCAAGAGCTGTGTATTCTTGCAATTTTTCTTATATAAAATGAAGATGTTATAGTTTGAAATTCCATAAATATGCCAAATAGTATAACTTTGTATGCTAACAAAGTTATAAATCATGCATTTTATGCTGTTCAATCAGTAAAAATTTAGGTTTGATTAAAAAAAACTAAGCATTGCATACATTTCACACACACATCCCTTTTCTGTTTTTCTGGAAATTTTGGCGGAGGATTCCCCCCTGGTGACTTCAACATTTCTAGAAATTTCACATCTCTAGTTCACAGTGTTACTTGCATATGAGTAACAAACTGGTCTGTATGTCTCTTGGCCAGTTGTCTCTTAGACTCCCATGCTGGAACATTGCAGGAAGCCTCTCCAGGTTGCTTTCTGCACTGAGGCTTCCTCTGCCTGGCTGTACGTACATCCTCCTAGATTGACAGTGCTGCGCAGCTGCTGCCTGGTCCTTCTCTATCTCCCTTATATATAAAAGCCAAATGGTGGTGGCACTTCTCTAGAACATTCCACACGCTCCGGAATTGGTTAGCATCCTGGTGTGTCACTCAAAATCTGTCCCTATCCACTGGCTGCATTGCTTGAGTCTCGCCTCCAACATTCTAAACAGTTTGCTGTTCCTCTCCCCCCCATAGCCAGTCAGAACACAGAGTTTATTTGCATATGCAGCCTCATTGGCCTTTGCCTCGGAACACAGAGGTCGTTTGCATATGTGACTTGATTGGCTTTTGCCTCTAACATGCTAAACAGTTTGCTGTTCTGAGGTAAAATGTGTCCAATCTCCAGGTGAGGGCTGGAGATCACTCAGAATTACAACTGTTTTCCAGATGGCAGAGCTCAGTTCCCCTGCAGAAAATGGTGGGCTTTGTATCCTTATATGCTGCTGAGGTGGCCCCCCGTATGACAGCCAATGTGACGTAGCAGTCAGGGCTTCAGAGCACGGTGTGTGTGGGCTGCAGGTGTGTGTGGGGTGGAAAGCTGAAGAGTGAGGGGGAAATAAAAGTAGGTTGATGATTGGCTGGGAAGGAGATAGGGTTGCCAACTCCAGGTGGGAAATTCCTGGAGATGTGTGGGATGGAGCCTGGAGAGGGTGAGGTTTCAGGCGTGGGACATCGGACAGGTACAAAGCCATAGACTCCACCCTCCAAACCAACCATTCCCTTCTGGGGAACCATCGTTGTCAATCTCCAGGTGAGGGCTGGGGATCACTCAAAATTACAACTGTTCTTTAGGTAGCAGAGATCAGTTCCTCTGGAGAAAATGGTGGACTCAGTGTCATTATACCCTTCTGAGGTCGCCACAGCAAATTGACACTGAGTGTCCAAGGCCGGGACACCCACCCAGAGCCTCTTTCTAGAGCTCGTTGTATTTATTTCCACAACAGGCCTTTTTCCTATTTTTATAACAAAAATTACACTCAGAATGAACAGCAGTATAAGATAACAGTGTTATAGGAGATGCTACTGTATAGAAGTGCCTTTCTGTTAAACTCCATATAGAGAAAATGTGGTTTGTTTAGGTATTGTGTGTACTCAAAATAGTTATGGTGCTAGTATGTTTAGAATTACACTCTAATGTACATGAAACTATTTATAGAACATGAAAATATACAGAATTGAGCTCCCATGATTTTACTGTTTTTACAGAAAACAATGTTAACAAATGTGTTCCTAAATTGCAAGTTCTTTTTATTAAAAGATACACGAGAGGGATGTTTACAGTATTCCAAACAGACTTGGTCAAGAGTACATATTTTTGAAGGATGGGTGTATCTCTGTGTTAGTGGTGGATGATCTGCTGGAAGCCTGGGATGGAGCTGAGTGTAATCCGCATATTCGTGGGAACTCAACCTAAATCTCCAGGTGACGCCTCTCCCAGTGGTTTTATATAGATGTTGAAAAGCATGGAAGACAAGATAGAACCTTGTGGGACCCTATAGGCCAGAGGTCAAGAGGCAGAGCAGCAGTTGTTCAGCACTACGCTCTGAAACCTACCTTTAAGATAGGACCAAAACCATCTCAGAACAGTGCCTCCCAGTTCAAATCCTGAAAGGCGGTCAAGAAAGATACTATGATTGATGGTATTAAAAGCAGTTGAGAGTTCAAGGAGAATTAAAAGGGTTGCACTCCCCCTCCGCAGTCCTGGCATAGGTCATTCAGCAGGGTAACTCAGGCAATTTCAGTACCATAACCAGGCCTGAAGCCTGATTGGAATGGATCCAATCTATTCATTTTATTCAGGAATCCCTGAAGTTGCCCAGCCACCACTCATTCAATCACTGTGCTAAAAAATGGTACGTTTGAGCCTGAATGGTAATTACTTGACTCTCCTGGGTCCAGAGTAGGTTTGTTTAGGACTGGGTGAACCACTGCCCGCTTCATGGCAGGAACTACCACCCCTTCATTCAGAGAGGCTCCTAAATCCAGTCTGCTGCCCCCCCTCGCCATCCAGGAGGGGCAAGATTCATACAAGCAGGTGGAAGGTCTCAAATTCCTAAGAACCCTGTCTGCATCCTCATACAGAACAAGGTGAAAGGTATCCCGCACAACTGGATAAATCAGCACCCTGAATGCAGTCCTCTTACTGCTAGTATAGAGTCAGCGTCAGAGCAGATGTGAGAGATTTTATCCACACAGTGTGTAGCAAAATAATTGCAGTGGGCTGCAGAGCAGTGTGTCTCCTCCTGTAGTCTGGAAGCTAATAGACCCCTGATCACCTGGAAGAGTTCTGCAGGGCTACACTCTGTGGATGCCATAGTGGCAGAGAAGTATTGTTTCTTTGCTGTCATCACTGCCATGAAGTAAGCTTTCAAATGAGCACAGTCCAGGCCTTTTCAGATTTGACCTGAATTTTTCTGCACTAGGGGTGTGCAGAAAAAAAATTAAGATTTTTTCCAGATTTGGGTCCATTGGACCTGAAAAATATTGGTATTTCCCGATATTCCCAAATTCCAATATCGGTATGATATTGGGATTTAGGTCAATAATCAGGAAACCCGAATTTCTTCAGCATTTTAAAATGCTATCCCTTCACTTGTAGAGTTGCACCGCCGGGGCGGCATGCCTCCATGAGTGAAGGGAAGCTAAATGCCTTCTCACTTCACTTGTGGAGGCATGCTGCCAAGGTGGCGCAAATCTGGGAGTGAAAGGAAGGCAATTAAAAATGTCTTTCCTTTGCGGAGTCATGCTGCCACCGCAGCACACGTCCATGAGCGAAGGGAATGCCTTCTTCAAACTGCACAGCTGTGGCGGCACAATTTGGCGATATAGCTGGCCTGAATAAAAGCCAAATAATATTGGCTCTTATTCAGGCCAGCTATATCGGTAGCTGAATCAGATTGTCTAATCTGCATTCAGCTGCATAAATGCCTGAAAAAATCAGTAAAGTATTTTTTGGATATTTATTCGGTTTGGTTTATACCGAACGCATACCCCTATGCTATTTAATATCTATATGCGCCCCCTTGCCCAGATTATCCGGAGTTATGGGCTGGGATGTCATCAGTATGCGGATGACACCCAGCTCTATCTGATGTTGGGTGGCCGGTCGGACTCGGGTCCCAATGACCTGCATCGGGCACTTGAAGCTGTGGCTGGTTGGCTCTGGCTGAGCCGATTGAGACTAAACCCGGCGAATACGGAGGTCCTGGGCCTGAGTCGGGCCGGGACAGGATTGGGGCTCCCTCTCCCGGCCTTCGATGGGGTACTTTTGGTGCCAGCGTCTGGGGTGCGGAGTTTGGGAGTGCACCTGGACTCCGCTCTAACAATGGAGGCCCAGGTGGCAGCCACTGTCAAGTCTGCCTTTTTCCATCTGCGTCGGGCTCGGCAGTTGGCCCCCTACCTGGACCGGGAGGACCTGGCCACAGTGATCCATGCAACGGTCACCTCGAGACTAGACCACTGCAACGCTCTCTACATGGGGCTGCCTTTGTCACAAATCCGGAGGCTGCAACTGGTGCAGAATGCTGCGGCCAGGCTGTTAATGGGTCTCTCTAGAAGGGACCATATACAGCCTGTGCTGAAAGCGCTGCGCTGGTTGCCAATAGTGTACCGGATTCGCTTCAAAGTGCTGGTACTTACCTATAAAGCCCTATATGGCCTGGGTCCAACCTACCTGAGGAACCGCCTTTCCCCGTATGTTCCCCCAAGAGCACTACGGTCTGGGGCCCAAAACTTGTTATCTATTCCGGGCCCCAGGGATGTGAAATTGGCCACCACAAGGGCCAGGGCCTTTTCGGTAGCGGCCCCTACCTGGTGGAATGAGCTCCCAGGGGAGATCCGGGTCCTGCGGGACCTGATGCAGTTCCGCATGGCCTGCAAGACGGAGCTCTTCCACCAGGCTTTTGAGTAGGGGCCGCTGCCCCCCCCATTATGCCACCATCTGGGGGGGGCTGGTGGAGGCCCTGAGAAGAGCCCGGGAAGATCTTTTGGAACATCTGAATAAATAGCGACGCTATAGACTGTCTCCCAGGAATCGTTGGTACTATCCCGCCATCTTGGGGTTGGGAGTCCTGGTTTCACCGAGCACTTCATGTGATTGAGGATGGGTTTGTTAAATTGTATAATATGCTTTTAAAATGTATATATATTGGTAATTTTGTATTGTTGTTTTATGTTGCAAGTTTTATCTTGCCTTGTAAGCCGCCCTGAGCCCTACGGGGGAGGGCGGGGTATAAATGTAAATAATAAATAAATAAATATTGTGCACTGTCACTCTAGCCAGCTGTCTTGTCTTTTCTTCATCCACAGCCTTTTAGTCAATCAAGAAACTGCCTGGGCTCTTAAACCTGAGAGAGGGTGCCTAGGAGCAATCGTGTCAATTGCCCTGGTTATTTCATCATTCTTGAGGTCAACTAGATCATTAAGAGAAGTGCTGACCATATCAGCAGAAATGGCATCTGAAAACCAGTTGGATCTATCAGGCTACAGGGGTTGATCATCTTAATCAATTCCCCATCCCTGTGGAGTCTTGGTAGCCCTGTAAGTCTAAACTTACAGGCAAGGTGGGATAGAAATGTAAAATAAATAAATAAATAAATAAATAATAAACCCCAGCATGTAGTGACATAACAAGAGGACTGTCTTCAATCCCCTCACCTTCAGATTACCCTCTTCCTGTCCAGAGCAGAACACCAGATCAAGAGTGTGACCTGCACAGTGTGTAGGCCTGTTATTTATCTGAGACAGGCCCATGATTGTCACGGATGCTTATCCTATTTGGCTTTCTAATGATTATGTAAAACAGACTACTGATGGAAAGTACCATCAAGTCTCAGCCAATTTATGGCGACCCTGTAGGGTTTTCAGGGCAAGAGCCAAACAGAGGTGGTTTGCCATTGCCTGCTACTGTGTAGCAACCATGGCTTTCCTTGGTAGTCTCCCATCCATGTACCAACCAGCTTCCAAGATCTGATGAGATTGGGCTAGCTTGGACCAGGTCAGGGCGAAATAAGCTAGGCTAAGAAATAGTGACTTGCTTATGGACAGTGTATTCCTATTCCTTCATGGTAAATCTCTTCTAACTTTACATCACATCACCACAGTGGCTTTCGGTTCATGATCTCGAATGTATCCTCTCTTGACTACTTTGGCTATACCCCTTGTTTCATGCTCTTTCCCATGTCCTTCTATCCTCTGTTCCTTAAATCACAGACTTTCCCCTTTCAAATAGTTTCAAGATCAATTTTTCTACACAGTCATCCCTGGAGCCGCCATACTTGTTTCTTGCACACCTGAACAAGTATAGAATATTTTATTTTATCCTTTGGGTAGCTAAATGCAGATACAGAAGTTGATAGGTACTTAGCCTATCAGTGTGGCTACCTCACAGGAGTTGTTGTCTAAATATAATGTGTGACCCTTGCTCTTCCTGACTACTTAAATCTGCTGCAGGGGAAGCTAACTGGGTGCAAGAGGTTAGCTAATGCCTCCTTGAGAGAAAGGGGGTGCAGTCTCCCCGACCTTGAGGTAGGCTGTAATGTGTCTGCTATTTAAAAAAAGTCTACTTTGGATCCAGGAGATTTCAGTAACTATTGACCAGTCTCAAATGTTCCATTCTTGAGCCATGTGATTGAACAAGTGGTGGTTGGGCAACATGAGAGATTCCTGGATGAAGCAGAGTTTTTGATCTATTCCAGTCTTGTTTCAGGCCTAGTTATGAGACTGAAACAGCCTTGGTTGCCTTGGTGGGTGACCTGTACCAGGAGATGGACGAAGGCTGTGCAACTCTGATTTTCCTGGACCTCTCAGTAGCTTTTGATACCATCAGTCATGGTATCCTTTTGGATTGCTTTCCAGGCTGGGATTCAGAGGCACTGTTTTTCAATGGCTCTGGTCCTACCTGGGGGGTTGGTTTTAGAAGATGATGCTGGAGGGCTGCTGCTGCTGCTCAAGTCCTTGGCCTTTGGACTGTTGTGGGGTCATGCAAAGCTCCATCTTATTGTTTATGCTTTTCAACATGTTTGGTTTTAAGGTGTTTTTATGATGGTTATTTTAAATCTGGTAGCCCTGATGAGAGCAGAAGGACGGCGTATAAATCCTATAAACAAAATAAATAACAATGGACACAGGGACAGCCATGTTCACTCTTACCTCATTGGAAGAAAGGTGGGATTACAATGCAATAAATAGGCTAATCTAGGAAATGACAAGACTTTACAAAATGAAGAAAGGGTTATAAACAGTTGCTATTTAGTTGAATACTTTCTTCTTTGATTTTTCTTTTTTAAATCAAGCTTTCTAGGTTAAAGCGGGAATTGGCACAGATGAAGCAAGAGCTGCAGTACAAAGAGAAAGGAGTGGAGACATTGCAAGAGTGAGTTGAAATGTAGCAGAATTTGAAACATTTAATGTAATTCTAGTAACAAAAGCTAATGTGTTGGTCACAAGTGTGTTCAAAAAGTACCTTTATTAATGTTTTGGTTTGTACTCTTGATGCAAATAGTAATAAACTTTCTGAAAGGGTTTTAGCATGGTCACTCTCTTGACATGGGGTACAGTCTATGCCCAGAGACTGAAAGTGAATGTGCAGGGAGGAGCCTCTGCAAGGCGCTGTAAAGCCATTGCACACTACAGTCACTGCCATTACCTGGAGTGGGAGATTAGCACACTTTCCATTTCCCCTTCCAGCCCTCCCTCTTCAGTGTTATTCATGAGAGTGACAAAAATTAGCAAATTTACTGTTTCTTGTTTTGTATGATAGGATTGATCGTAAGATATCAAATGCCCATATGAAATATAAATTGGATGAAGCCCAAGCAATAATGAATGAACTCCGAACCATCAGGAAGGCTATTTGTATGGGTGAGAGAGAGAGGCAAGACCTAATGCAGGTAAGACACTTTCTTTAGTTAATAGTCATAGTGACAGAATGGCCCCACTGACCTGCAAGAGCTGCTGTGTTCGGCCCTCCCTAAGTGTATAGACGCCAGCAGCTGCCTAAGTCTCAATGTGGTGACATGCTACTGTCCCAGCCTACTTAATCCTCGGTGGGGTCTTCTCTCCTTTTTTGGATATTTCTGCCACCAACTGGTCATTTAGGAATTACCCACTGAGAAAGATGGTGCTCCCAGCTTCCCTTCCTCCATCACTGTTCTATGGCTCTATGTAGTACCTGTGTCTTCCACTACCCAGTAACCAATTACTGCAGGGAAGGCTTACTAGCCTTGCACACTCCCAGGGAAATAGCAATTTACCAACTAGCCAACCCCTTCCTGTGCAGTATGGAGAACAGTTACCAGCATTGAAAACAGTAAAGAATTTATAAAAAGTAAAATGTCCAAATGTATACTCTCAGCACAGCAACAAACTGAGCAAGGAATACAAAATAAAAGTATAAACACACAATTCCTCTCCCTCTCGCTCTATACATGCCCTAGCTGGTCTTGTTCTAAGCAGGCTGTTTTAGCTTAGAAGTTACAGATTTGTTCAGGCAGGCAGCCCTTTGTGTTCTCCATATGACAATGATGGCTTTCAACTGGATCTTGGGTATGAGATCTCTTTCCCCAAGATGAAATGAGCCAAAATGGACCCCTCTTCCTCCATATCAAGGGATTTTATTAGCTCGGTTTGCCCACCCCCTGTGGGTCAAAGAATCCTTTCCTGAAGTCTCCAAGAAGATAACATTCTACACCTCCCAAGTTTCTGTTTCCATTCTAGGTGTCAGCTTCCAGCTGGAGGTGAAAGTGTCTCCAACTAGGTGGCCATTACCATTTCTAAAGCACTGATTGTCAGTACTTGGGTGAGGCTTGAAAGCAATTGATTTCTCCCCTTCTACCTGCTCTCTGCTAGGAGAAAGAAAAATGTTTAAAACTAAATGTGAAGATTTTTACAGCCCAAACCTCCAAAATGAAATATATTTCTCTGGAGTTATATTTGTGGTTTTGCTGTTTATACAAGACTGGTATTTTGCATACAGTTGTCTTCTTTGCTAGCTGGTAATGCATGCTTGATGGAAACATATGCTATTCTCACTGTTTATTGGTTCATAGCCCATGTTTGCAGTGGGTACCAAAGGTGGGCGGGAAGGATGGGGTTTCTCCTGGATGGATATTCTCAGTATGGGAAAGCAGAAGATCACATTCTGATCTGCCAGACCTCACTGAGGAAGGGGCGGTTTGTTTGTTTTTTGCTTGTAGTGTTACCAAGCCATGTGGGCCCCAGATCCAGACAGTCCTGCTAGATTTCCCCCAGCTTACAGCAGGTGTAATAAGGTGACCTTGAACGCAAGGAAATTGCTTCATCTTAGTGTAACGTAACACGTTTGATCACATTCTTGTTTCCTGTAACTGAATTTTGTTCTTTAGTATTGGTCTTGCATGCAGAAGAGAAAAATACTTTTTAGTAGACAATCAACTTGATTCTGCAGCTGTGAACCAAGCACATACCTACTTCCTCACAACAAGAAGAGATGCAATTATCATAGAGCATCAAGCAGCCAGGGAGGAGTAGTAAAATGCAGATATTCAAGTGGCCAAGCAACCCCCCCTAAATTGCTGGTTTTCAGCAGTCTTACAGAGAGATGAGAGAGCAAGAGACTGAACAGGAGACCACAGGAGACAATTGTGGGTAGAATGGCTCCCAGCACTGGAACAGCTTCCAGCAAAATATCTCTGTCGGTGCAGATGCTTGTAGACATGAGTGACTGGTTTGGTTGCAGATTGTGCTTGCATGCCGCCATACTGATTTTCTTTAGCTTCTTGTGTAGTGGTTTTAGGTGCTTGTGCGTACAGCAGTTGTAAGACATAGAACTAAACAGGGCAGAGAAGGTTAACTATATCAGCTCAGCTATAAATTTGCCTTGTGGCCTTAAGCAAGCCGCTGTCTCTCGCAGTCTCCCCTCCCCAGAATGTTAAGGCTTCCAGAGATAATTTAAAACAGCTCTAGCATTTATAAATAAACACTGTTATCAGATGGTAAAGGTTACACATTCATATTGTTTTGATGGATAATTTTGCAAGAGAAGGGAGCAAGTCTGTGTTTGAGCAAAACTATAGTCAATGACTTCTTTACTTTGAAGTAATGTATAGTTTTCATACAGTCTTGCAGTATATACATTCTCTGTACTGTACTAAAATGCTAAAACTCTATATAGAGTCGATTTGGTGCCTCACTGACATGTATTGTAACCTATATGTTGACTGTTCTAAGATCAATATTATGGAAAGTTTTTCAAAAAAGAAATCACTCCATAACTACCTTGTAATTTCAGCATGACCATTGTAGGTGGTGGTCCTAGACTAGATAGACATGATTCATTCTGGCGTAGGTGTTTGGGCTGTTGTAAAATTTGACAACACACTTGGGTCAAAATATAGGTGAGAGGAGTCTGAGACATGGCAGGAAGGATTAGTCAGGTCTAAATAGGGCAAGATGATTAGAAATGCTGCCAAATGCAGCAATGACACCATTCCAAAAAAGAGGCATATTTATAAAAGCTTCAAAGAGGAATTCAGAGTGTTCCATCTTTATCTTCAAGTTTTATGGTCAACTCCAGTTTTATAGAATCATCTACATATTTTCTCATGGTTGGCATATGCAGATTTTATTTTTGAAATATTACTTCATTCAGGGCTTTTTTGGTAGAAAAAGCCCAGCAGGAACTCATTAGCATAATAGGCCACACCCAACAGCAGAAATTTATTAGCCTATTAGGGCACACCCCTGACAGGCACCGTTCATTAGCCTATTAGGCCTCACCCCTATGCCTTCCCTTGGCTTGCCCGGGCAAGCCCCACATTGAAGGGAAGGGAAGGCAGTTTAAACTGCCTTCCCTTGGCTTGCCCAGGCACCCATGGCTGCGGGGCACCTAGGGAAGCTGGCCCTTGGACAGGCTGGGGAAGGCATGGGGAGGCATTTAAATGCCTCCCTGATCCTTCCAGTCCCCCCTCGGCCCACCTGCCTCAGAGTCACTGGGGGGGTCATTCTCCAGGCCTTCCATCTGTAGCCACGCATGCAGAGGTTTTGGCTGTAATGGGCGTGGCCAACTTGAAGGCAGCTGGAACTCCGTTCCTGTGTGTTCCTGCCCAAAAATAGCCCTGACTTCATTACAGGAAATGAAAACGTTGAAAGACATTTGCAATAAATGGATATGTCTAAATCAAGGTGTAGGAGGCAGATGGGATTTTATCCTAATTGGAGACAGTTTACCAGTTATGTACGTGGGTACTGTTTCACTGAAATCTCCCTATATTGGTAGAAGTAGTCAAAGTCACTTCTTCTCTTTGTGTGGTGTAACATGATGCCTTAATGTAACAGAAAAAAAGATAAATTAGAAGTCTCATTTCTTTATCTTTGAAAGTTCAAAGTAAGCAGGAGAAATTGCATAGGTATGGTTTAAAAGTGTTAATTCTCCCCCCCCCCCCCCCCAAATATCTTGTAATGTTTAAAGTATATTTATGATGACAGTGCTGCCTGTCATTGTACTTTGCCCTGGTGAATTAGCTGCCTTATTCTCAAATCTCAGTAGCATACACGGGGAAACTTTATAGATACTTTCAGAATAATATTTTTTGTTCTTTAACTTTTGTTGCTTTCGGTTCTGTGGGGTTGTTTTAGTTGAGTTATTTGGTAAATCTGTCTGGACTAAATGCGATTTGCAATATTTACCAGTTGCTGTATGGATTACGTTTATTTTTGTACAATAACTTTTTAAACTTTGTGAATGTGTGCAAGTAATGACCCCATTCTATGTAATGATAATCCTGTCATAAGAAAAATCTCTGGGCTATTAGTAATTCCACTATTTTAAAGAAGAATTTATTAAACCAGAAATAGATTCCTTGATCGTTTTTCTTTCTCTCCCTCCATCTCTCCCCCCTTTTCTTTTTTCCTCCACAGAGTCTGGCCAAGCTGACAGAGGGATTCAAGAATAGTTGTTGCATTACAGAATCTCTGCAGGATCTTCAGTATAATTCTAGTTCACACACTGACTCCAGTTTACCTCAGCAACAATGTGATGCTTGCTCTCAAACTGACATCATTGGGGAGGTATGTGTAGTAGTGCAGTATATAAAAAGGGTGTTTTGATAAACTGCATGGTACAATAGTTTAAATCAATTTTCCAGTTCAAAAGAGGAATAAATACATAAGGATTCTCCAAATGGATTTAATTTCTGTCTTGTACAGAAGTCAAAAATTCGTAGTAAATTTCTAAAGGCAGGTAACATAGCCAGATATTGTTCAGAAAGGTACCCTTCTAAACTTCTGTAGTTATTTTACAAATGAATAAGACAGTTTAGCAAATACAACTAAAATTATTTTTTCATCTTTTCTATATAAGCCATTGGCGGATAAACTGAAGATAAGTTTTATCCAGTGTTTGCAGGAAGCTTCACTTTGAGACCTAAAAATATTAAATAAAACAATCAACCAGTGGCTGTTCTCTAATTTCTTAAATTGATTGAGGGTCTCAGACACAGAGTACTCTCTGACAGTCTTTGGCCACTCCTTTTTGTTAGTCTTGTCATTAGAGTTAAAAATTCAATTTCTGAGCTTTTCCACAATGTTCCTGCATTGCCACCAGCCCCCTATAGAATGTTTCTTATCCCAATGTAGGATGCCCTTGAGAGATGGCTTATTAGGATATACTTTATGGGCAGGGTCCACAAGGCCACATAGAGGGAGTAGTTGTTCAGACCTTCTTTGTTCACTCTCATCTAGATAACTAGTATTGCATGACTGTTTACACACATAGTGTTACTCAAGTTTAAAGCATTTAACCAAAGACAGGTATATGTATTGGTGAAACTCAGAGGGTCAAAGGCATCAATAAAACAGATAATTTAGAAAAGGTAAAAATGCTTCTAACTTCTGTAACTGAGTCTACATTGATAGTCGTGTTTCTGAACCAATTCTAGAATTGAACTAACTTACCTTACGCAGTAGTTGGAGGATAAAATGTGATGCTGTCTTGGGCTCTTTCGAAGAACAGTGAAATAAAAATATTTTAAATAAATGGATCAATGATATAAAGCATGTTAAGTACTAAGGGCCCATGGGTGAATAACAGGAATTGCTGCATGTGTTTTTTTCTTAACTATCATCAGGATGTGCGCTGTATGAAAGAGCCCCATAGGATGTGAAGTCTTGGGACCTGTTTTAATCTTACAAAAGGCTTGCAGTCAAACTTGTCTCCTTTTGTGCAGGAAGGGGGATTTCTTCCAGTTTACTTAGGTCTTCTGTATAAATTGGTTGTATTTTTAAGGGGAAGATTTCATTAATGTTTCTGTTTCTTTCAACTCAGATGCTGAGTTATATGTTCATGCACATAGTCATATGGAGGGAGCAATCCTTGTAAGATCTAAAAATCTTTAACAAAAACGATTAAATACACCTGTTCTGTGCTTGACTATCCTGATTAATCTCATTGAAGTGAGTGAGTTGGTAAAAATAGGCATGATATTCTAAACATTTTAACTGTTTTTAAATACAGTAAAATGCTACAGAAAAATACCTATATATATTGAAAGTGTATATTGCATATTATTTAAAAGAACTTCAGCATGAGCTCAACTGGTTTTTCATTGGTTATTAACTGCAGATATTTTTGCTAAGGAATCCTCAGTACTGAAAGCACAAGTTTTATACTCTCTGTATCTTTAGCTAAATTTACCTAAAGCCAAATTTAGCTAAAGTTTGAAATATGAAGGCTCCACAATGGGTTATCCTGTTTAGGATAACCTGTGTTGTTGAGGGTAAACTTAACTATGGCTGTGGTCACACACAGTAGATAATCCACTTTCAATCCACTTTCCAACTGGATTTTGCCAGTTCACACAGTAAAATCCAGTTATAAAGTGCACTGAAAGTGGATTGAAAGTGGATTATTTAGTGTGTGTGACCACAGCACATGTTTCCCACACAGTGTTCTTATTCTAATCATGTTCACTGTTAATTTTCCCATTTTCCCCCTTACAACAGTTTGGTTTTGATGATAAAACAAGGCTTGGTGATGGAGAACGATTGGCCGTACAGTATGAAGAGGCCCAAAAGAGGTTAGTAAATTTAAGGTCCAATGAAATAACCAGTCATGATTGGACTTTACTTTAAATATTTAGTAGTCTCAAACAGGTCTTTGAAGATGTGGCATAAATATTCTAAATAAATGAAACAAATACTGATTTTTATTCATTGGTATGTCCAGTTTTATGTATCATTTTAGATACATAGATTATATTAGAAGCATTGCTGATGAATTTCCTGTCCAGTAGCAAGGCTGGCTCAGTCCACTCCTCCCCCCCAAAACAATTGATATAGATGTTCTAGTCAAGGGTCCCCAACCCTTTTCAGCCTATGGGCACCATTGGAGTTCTGTCATTGTTGGTAGCCCCAACCTGAAAATGGCTGCCCCTGGAATTTCAGGGAGGGAATCCCACTGGCAATTAGCCATCACAGAATCCTACTGAAATCAATTATGATCAAATCTCATTATTTTGCTGGGATTGCACCTTATGTGTTTTTCATTACTCCTCCTGCGTCATCTTAAAATGAACTTATTGTTTACTAATACTTTCTGGCATACACACAAAGTAAGTGTACAACCCTGATCAAGCAGTATCTGTCTTCATTTTGCAGACATTTAGCACACTTATGAAAGAGGAAAATGGAAGAATGCTTCTTTACCTGGCTGTCCCCTTTATACAAGCCCTTCTGTCATGAATGGAAAGTAGAGGAATAAAAAACAGAGAGAGGGGAAGCCTGGTGGATCACACAAACAGAGAGAGGAAACCCAGCACAGGGGAGAAGCAGGGGAATTTTTAAAGTCGGGGTGGGGGGTGGGGAGGCCCTGCAGGCTTGGGTGGGAAAAGAAAAGCTTCCTTTTTTTCCCCCTGCATGTGCCAGCTAGCTTGTTCGCCTCCTGGGCTGCAGCGATGAAGCTCAGGAGAAAAGGAAGCTGACAGGAAGGAAAGGGCTTTTCTCTCCCTGACTGGTGTCCGGGGCTGTAGCAGTGCTCATCAGGAGAGCAAGTTTGCTGGCCTGGGAAGCAAAAAGCTTTGCTTTCACCTCCCCCAGCCTGAGGTTTAGGGTTGCCAAATGGGGCTGGGGGGCGGGGAATCCCCCGCTTTGATGGCCCGATTTTTGACGCAAATGGCCGTGGCCCCGCCCCCAGCGTGCAACGTCACACCCCGGACGCCAGCTGGGAGCCCTCCGCTCCCGGCCGAAAACAATTTGGCAACCCTACTGAGGTTAGAGGCAACTTAATTTGTTTTGCAGTAGTGATCCTTCTACTTTTGCTGCAGCTGCCTCTGAAGTGACTTCTTTTTACTGGATACTCCATCTGACCTCCAGTGGCCATTCATTGCAAGAGATGTTGGGTATGCATTTACTTGGCATATGCAACAACCACATTAGAATAGCTAGTGTCAAGTCCCCTCACAGGTCAGGAAGTTGTTGACTTCCGGTGTTGCCATGTCAGGAGAATAAAGTAAATAGGTGAGGACAAGTTATGCTTGAAGATAGCTATCATTAGGAATTTTAGATTGATTGCCTATACAGAAAATGATCACCAGTTCACAAAGTGTGAGTGTTAAGTAATTATAATTACTTTGTGAAGTGGTGCCGTTAAAGAACAAATCACAGGTAGTGGTTGATGAGGAAATACACTTGTAGTCTCTCCATCAGAACTTATAGATGTTGACACATTCAGCCTTTATATCGTGCTTTGAAACAGTTGATCAAGATAGAGTCCAGTGAGTGTTCTGACAACACATGATGTGACATACAAAATGAGTAGGTTAATAAGCTAAATAGGAAATCTCAGGGTGGGGAAACTTGTACAAAGAGGATCTCTCTATCTACCTTCTTATCTACCTGTCTATCTGTCTGTCTGTCTGTCTAGATATCTAGATATCAGTTTTTTAAAGCTCAGAAAGATGATTTATCATGTGTGCCCCCACTCCCAACATAGTTAATCAGCTAAATCGTCTCTTAATTTACTTTCCAGCAGATGGTTATGTATGATTCTTCAATAAATTATCTCCATTAAGTAAAAAGTTCCAATTACTATAATTTTATTTTCCCTCCAATCCCCATCATTGTTACCATTAGCATTAAATATATAGTAGTAGTACATTTTAAAACGTTGAGAACAGTTTGGAGCACATTTGCCTCTACCAGTTATCTCTGTGGTCACATTCTTCATTTATCATGCATTCCTTCCCTTCAGCCTGCTGGCATTTCTGTAGGGCTTTTGTCTCCACTAAATATTTCTATGTTCAGCTCTTGCTTTGCTCATGAAACATCTAGTGCAGTTGCACAGCGTGGGGGCAGGAATGTGCTGTATTAGGTTAAAATGAACAAAATGCTAAAAAATTGAAATGCTTCAGTACATGACATTTTTTTTAATCAGCCTCTTTGTTTAACCAGAGTGGTGAGAGAAAGAAATCTAGGTGTCATGACTCGGGAATGAGCACATCACACAATCATTTTACACTGTTAAACTTGTGTGAGTGTGTGTATAGCTGCTTCTTTTTTCATTAGGAAAGGCTTTTACTAAAAATTCATGCATTGTATGAAGTGTTTATTTGTTAAATGTAAAAAGCTTTAGAGAATGTTAAATAGTAGAAGACTCGCTGTGCTTCTGTTCAGTTTTCCAGTCTAAGCCTCTCAATGGGTTTAGACTAGAGTAACCCTTTGTGAAATTCCATGGTTATCACCTAATATAAAAAGGTAGTTGGATCAATTAGGTAACAGTCCTGATCTCACAGTATTGCAACATTCTTACTTATATTTCATCTTTGATTTCTGCATTGTCTCCTTATCAGCAGTTGTGTTCTGGTTCTGATTTGCTTATTAATCTTCATCCCCCCCCCTTTGTTTTACTTCCCCCCCCCCTTATGGTTCCTTGTTTATGGGCTTCATTGAAGGTTGGTATTTGACAAATTGATTTTCTTCCTTTATTTAACAAACATATCATAAGTCATTGTTTAAGATAGTCTAAGTTGCTGTGGTTTTAATCCAGCCATCTCCTTTTTTCCTCATTCAGTTTTTAATTATTTTGTGTATGTATTTTGTCTGTAGTAGATTATTAACTTATTTGGACAGCAACTACTTTCTTATGTGTTCTCAGTGGTGCTTTTGGGGGGGGGGGGCAGCAGAGCAAGTAAAAAGGTAAAGGTTCCCTTGCTCGAAAGCCAGTCGAGTCCGACTCTAGGGTTGCGATGCTCATCTCTGTTTCAAAGCCGAACAGCCAGCGCTGTCCGAAGACATTTCCGTGGTCATGTGGCCGGCATGACTAAACACAAAGGCGCACGGTACACTGTTACCTTCCCACCGAAGTGGTCCCTATTTATCTACTTGCAATTTCTTGCTTTCGAACTGCTAGGTTGGCAGGAGATGAAACTAGAGACGGGAGCTCACTCCGTCTTGCGGCACCCGGGTGTCGAACTGCTGAACTACCAACCTTCCACAGCCTGCAGTTCAGCGTCTTAACCACTTGAGCCACCGCAGCTCCACACATACACAGCAGAGCAAATAAGAATATAATTATCATTTATTACTATCAATTTAAATGGTGTTGAAGTAAGGAGATAATTTTGAGGTCAGATTTCACAAATTTGTGGTTCTGAGTTTGATTCTCCATACATGCCCCATATTTGGATGTAGCTAGAGTTGGCCCTGGCTAGTATTTGGATGGGAGACCACCAAGGAAGTCCAGGGTCAGGACACAGAGGTAGGCAGTGGCAAACCACCTCAAATGTCTCTTGCCTTGAAAACCCTACAGTAGGGGTGGCCAAGCTTGCTTAACGTAAGAGCCACACAGAATAAATGTCAGATGTTTGAGAGCCACAAGATATGAACAAATATTATACACATGTTTTAATTGAAAAATATGCAAATTTGCTTTTTATTAATATTAAATGAGACTGCCAAAAACAAAAACAAAAGGGGTATTTATTTATCCAATGATATTTCTAGGCTGGGGGGAGGCTTTGAGAACACATTTAAAGTTAAAGTTGCTTTCTTTCTCTGCTCCCCCCTCCACCTCAAGACTACCCATGGAGGTGAACACTGGCTGGGAGCCACACAAGCCACAGTTTGGCCACCCCTGCCCTACAGGGTCGCCATAAGTCAGCTGCGACTTGACAGCATAAAAAGAAAAAGAAAAGATTACTAAGATAGGTCCAGTGGTGGAAAGTTCAGTTTAATGGAAGATAATGGATTATATCCTAAGAGAACTGTTTACTGAAGGAAAATTGCCTGCTAGCTCTGTTGTACAAACGTTTGTGCAAGAGCTTCCACATACAACTGTTCTCAAGTTCTTACTTGCACAAGAGGACCAATAGGATTTAATTTACTTTCTTAGTTTAGAACTAAAATTTATGCGGACAGCAACTCAGGATCTAATGTGGAAAC